GACCAGACATTGGCTTCAGAGAAGTGGCTGTGCCTGCCCCATGATTGTACTTTGTTTTGGTTTGAGATTAAGAGTGAGATTCACTTCCAGGCTTTGCACTTTCTGGTGCGTGCAGCCTGTCCATATGGCAGATAACTGTGCCTTTAAAAATCCATATCCACTTTCCTTTCCATCTTCACAATAAGTCATCACTGAGTCCTGATGGGCTTTTGCAAGTGGAGGAGGTCAAATACACACAAATTGTTTCAACACAGCAAGTGTGAGAGGGTGTCAGATCTGCAGCATTGTTTCTGCTCAGTGATTCAATTAGTGTGTAAGGTATTTGCAAACACTGTACTTGCTGCCTGTGAGAAATGGATTGGTGGTCCTAGGCCAAGGGAATAAGAGGTGGGAGTAATAGTTAGATTTCTTGCTTGATATTGATAATGGACTAAGTCAAATGAATTGTCATGGACCAGGTGCTACCCTGGCTTTGCAAATCCAAGGACATGTTGTTGGCATTCTGTCAGTGATCCACTTTTTGGCTGGATTTTTGCTGGATGGATGCCATTCTGCTCCCAGTGCACTGGTAGACCAGGTGTTGGCTTGTCTAGTAGTGTGTTGCTCAGCAACGAAGAACGAGGCAGCAGTTTGTCTGAGTCTGGTTCATCTAGTTGTGTCCTGGGATGATCCTGATGTAGGATGGCTATATTATGTACAGAAACATAAGAGGGGGACAAAAATGAAGTTTTCCCATGCTGTCCTCATCCTAATTCCAGGCAATCCAGTTCTGTAACCAGCTTTCCATGTCTTCAATAGGTTCTATGCGAACAGCACATAGGACTTGGCTGCAAGAGCAAGAAGGCAGGATGTTGTCAAGACCAAAACCTGGGGAGTCTGAGGCAGACCTGCTGCACTTTCAAAACCAGTTCCTGGCAGCCAGAGCTTCCCCTGCAGTGAAGATTGTGAAGAAAGCAGATAAGAGGAAGGGGGAGGATGGGAGCATAGATGCTGAGAGACCCCCGCTACAGGACAGCAAGGATGTAGTCATGTTGGATGGTAAATTCTCTTCTGAGCTTCTTTGAATTACTAAGATTCTCTGTCCATTTCATGTTCCTCACTGCTTGCCTTTCACCTCCCTCTCAACCCAATGTTGCTTTTGCCCCGCATTTGTGTCCTCCTTGAAGTATTTTTCGTTCTTAGCCTTGTTGGAAAATGCCCTTGTCCAATGTTACTAGCATCCAGTAGAACCACCTTTGTTGCCTTTGTCCACATTTATCAGCTCTCTCTGGTACCTTGCTAGCAAGAGTGTTTTCTGTGATTTGTACCAATTGGACACTTACTGCTTATTTTGCCATCCATCCAGACCCTGTTCTCAGTATCTTTGAATTTTAGCTCTGCTAACAGCTCCAGCTTTCAGCCAGCAGATCTGGCTTGCTTTTGTTTTCTACATCAGTAGTAACTTTTGTCATGTGCTTGATAATCTCAGAAGCTCAAGGTGCTTTTTAAAAAGCAACAATTTAAATCTTGCAGTTCTTAGTTCCAGATAGAGGAGATATGATCTATTCATAGCAAGTGAAAAGAAGACTTTGACTTGTTCATGATCATACAAATCCCTCACTGTTACAGCTGGCAGTGGAAATATGCTTTCCTGTGCCTGAACACAACCTGCAAGGATAGTATGTACGGCTTTGCTTCTTGCCTTAGTGCTTGCAGTCAGATCTCAGTACCCTCTTCTGCTTATGGAACTCTTTGAAAAGACCTTGTGCCAATACATAAATAATAAAATTGTCGAGCATGTTTCTCTTTGCTACTCAGTACAAGTCAAAAACAGAGGACTCGTAATTGTCTTATTGCTTCCTCATCTTTATTTCTCATCAGAGCAGTAATAGGTGCTATTAGGGAGCCTTGGTCTGTACCTAATGCACAGTGGTTATATAAGTAACTTGACTGCTTTTTTTTTCTTATTACTTCTCCTCCCCAGGTTTTCCTGATAATCTCCCAGCTCTAACTCCAGCTCCTCCAAAAAAGTCCAAGATCAAAAATGCTTGTGTCCACTTTGAGGATGAAGATCTGGAGGACACACTGGAGAGTCATGATCAACACATTACAGCAGTCTTAAGCAAAATTATTGTATGTCTTTTTTCTTGTGATGATCTTCTGAATGCTGTAAACTAAACAGGGATGAAGGGCTCTGATGCTGCTTTTTATTTCTACAGTGTAATGAAGCAGCACTGTAGACCAGTGTTCTGGATCACTTTGAAAGAAAAAGCTCTTTGGGTGTATTTTTGCTGTCAGTTAAATATGGATTCAAATCTGTTTTCCAGCCCAAACTGCCTACAGGTCACACTGCTTGCATGCAGGCATGTTCTGTAGCGTGGATTTGGATGAATTTCTGGACTCTGAGGGGGATGTTAAAGGTTTTCTTTATCTAATTCTTTGAGTGATGCGTGGAGTTTGGTGGCCCAGCCTTTTGGAAAATAGCTCACTTTGGCTCTAAATAAGCACAAGGTGTTCTGAGCCTGATGACGATGTGAACTGCAGAGCTGAGAGATTTTGAGTCTGCTCTCAGCTAAATGATACAAACATGTCTGGCTGTTGCAAGGGTTTCTACATGGTTTGTTTGAATTTTTTTCTTCAGGAACGAGACACCAGTGCAGCAGCAGTGACCATGCCAGTGCCCACAGGAGACCCATTTCCAAGGTCCTTTCACCGCTCCGAGATAAAAAGTGAGGTAAGATTGTGAGCAGACATTTTATGCTACCTTCATTAAAAATTAAAATTTCTCCACAGTAAAGCCTAATGCTTGGTGAGGCTTGGTAAGGCTCAAAATAATTGACTTGGTTTGCTGGAGATCATGAGTTCGCTCAACATATCACTGGTATTGCCATCTTAGTGTAGGAGTGAGTTTTTCTTCCAAGTTGCCATCAAGTAGGCACTCCAAACCCTGCAGGTAAATAATGTTGGAATCCTTTTGGGTTAGGAAAAAGGCAGCCCCCTTCAGCTAACTTCAGTAAGGTGGATCAAATTTGCACTGCTGTAATAGAATTGATCCTGTTCTGCTTGTTTTTCTCTGAGGAACAACCTCTGTTAATTTGTCCACCAGGTTTGATTAAGTCTGTTCTTATTGAAGTTGCACCTTAATTCTCCTAGCATGACATTTGAATATGGTTGTATGGATTATCTTTTGTGGCTTTTTGGATTTTGACATATTTTTTTTCTGAGGCTGTAAAACTGGAAGCCATGGCTGCTGTTATTGGTTGTTGCTGTAGTAGCAAGAGCTGCTAACTGAGTGGGAGTCAGATGCTGGAAATTGGTATGTGATTGATAGCTGTGGTTGGTTTGAGGAGGTAGCTTATTTTGAAGGACAACTTTTTTGAAAGGCAGAGATGATACTTTTTAAAGTACCAGTTCTGTTTACCTGATACAGGAGTGCATAAAGCAGCTACCCAATGCTCAGACTGCCTTTTAAGTTTCTTCTCTGGACTGGGTACGTGTAAGAGATTTTTTGCTTAGTTTGCTTTGAATTTCCTGTGCATCCTGTGCAAGGCTGTTCAGAGCTGTGCCCTTCCATCACCTGGACAAGCAGCACAGTAAATTAGTCAGGATTATTTTAGCACCATTTGCCTATTTCTTACTGCGTAAATCTCTTCACCCTGCTGCTCTCTAATAACCTTATAAGAAGTCTGTTCCAAGCATGTGGTGAGCACAATGAAGTACAGCCCCATTTATCCTCAGAAATCCAAAGTATTCAACTATGCCAAGCCTCCAAACAGCAGGAAAGCTGGAACTGTTGTGTTTGGTGATATTTTAGGTGCACTTGCCATGCTTGAATTCACTTATAATTAATCATCTTCCTTCTCTAGCTACCAAAAACATCCATATTTTTGTCTCTCTGTCCTAGCCTTAAACTGGGTTTAAAAAAGAATAGCGTGATCACAGGTGGCCAGGTGGATGCCAGCAGCTTCTCTGAGTCATGTCCCGGTGTCTTATTTGAGGGTGTGTTTAGGATCAGATATACTTGTTAGTGGCTGGGGCAGCCTGCAGAGGAAAGTGGTGACACGTCTTCCCTATTTGTAGGTAAAGGTGGGATCTGGAAGAAAAAGCATCTTTGCGCAGAAGATGGCAGCGAAAAGAACTGCTGAAAAGGCAGCAACAGCTCCCTCTGCTGCCGACTGTGTGCAAGTAAGATCAGCTGCGCTGGATGCCTTGGATCCTGAGGAATCAGCGGGAGAGACACCTCTCCCCAGCATCAGGGGTGGTAAGTGGGGAAGGTTCTGCTTATCCGGCCTATCGTATTTACATAGCCTTAGTAACCAGAAACGTCAGTGCACCTTATTTTTAAGTTACGGTAGCATTGTTGTCTTTACTTTAGGAATCTCAAGATCACTTGGAATGTCTGTGTCGTGACTAGGACTTTTAAATGCTCTGAGACAAATTAACATTCTAAAAATTGGGTTAACTTTCTGACTGATTTCTTTTTTACTTCACATGGGGCCAAATAGATTTATTTTTCAAGGTTCTTGTCCTCCTTTTTCTTTCTGCTTGCTATATGCAAAGTTTTTCTTGTTTCATTATTGATTTATGCAATTTTAGGAAGAAGGTGGTTCTTGTGTTTGTTGAAGGTGTTTGAGACCACAGTGATGTGGGTTCTCACTCCTACCTAGATGATTGAAAGCTCAGTTTTCCGTCATCAGATCTGCTGCCATGAGACTGTGGCTTTGCTCCATAAGGAATGATGTGAGGCAGTGCTGATGAGTCAGTGCCACCTCCAGCAGTTACTTGTCTGACAGCAACGTGACAAGGAAAGATGAAGCTATTTCAACTGGTACCAGCATCTCCAGGCTTTTTAATTTGTGGGTGTGTGTCTTGGGCAGTCCAGTTTGCTTAGGACCACGATGTGTCATCAGGCTTTTACCCTGACTCCCTCTTTTTGACATTGAAATTAGAGGCCAGATGTCATTTGAAGATTATCACCATTTGGTTAAGGTTTGTGTCAGCCCTGACTCCCATCAGAGAATTGGTATGACAACCCCCAGGTGTACAGTGCTGTGTGTGCACAAATCCACCATCCAGGTCACTATACTGTGCTTACTGTATATCCTGTTACAATTGGGTAAATCTCAAAGAGAAATAGAAGAGCCCTATAGCTGTGATCCTCTTGAAGTAGAACACTTCTAAAATGTAGCAGCACAACAGGGGGATTAGAAAATTGCTTGACCTCCTCAGCAAGATTGCTGTGGCAGGATCATTAGAAGCAAGAGAAAAGATGGAGCTCAATTTCTTGTAGTAACAACGTTTGTGCCTAGTAACCCTCACTTTTGCTAATGGGGGAAGCTTACTGAAGCTTTTACCAGGTCGATCTGTCTTATCTCTTTCTGCTCAATATGCAAAACAACTGCTGTGGAGATGACATCAAACCTTACTGATGTTATGATGAGTGTCATTGCTCTGTCGTTTGAACAGGGATTTGATGCTTTCAGGGTACGCTAGTTTAGGATCATAGGTATGTTCTGAGTCAATATATGGAGCATATGAATAAAACATAAGGAATAAAGCCACTAAGTTGGGTCCTTGTGTAGTGGGTTTCAGGACAACTGGAGGGTCTCACTCTGACCAAAGGAGCATGTTACCCTGCTGCTATTGTTAAATGAAGTGAGCATTTAAAATGGATTTAGATCAGGTGATAAAGGAGACTTCATTTTGTTCAGGGTAGGAAAAATGCTCCCCTACTGAAATTTCTAATCTGTTTAACCCTTAAGGGTGAGTACAAGACATTGTTAGAAGCAAACATGCTGGTGTTGAGAATCTTGTATCTTGTATCAGTCCAGAAGCTGGTTTACCTAATAGCTGTAATTTTCTGTCTCACTCAGCAGGTATTTACTAGGTCATGGTTCAGCTGACGTACAAATGTGGGTTCAGGTGTTCTTGGGCAGAGAAAGAATCTAATATTCACTAACTGGGATGAATGCTCCAACTCCTGAATTGTGAATTATGCTCCAGTTTACCTTTTCTTGCCATTGCTTTGCTTTAAAGGAGCAAAATTGCTTTCCTCCCCATCCCTCCTCAAGCTCCTAAAGAAACAAGATGGAAATGATGTTTTGTTGTGACGGGGGGTGAAAGCCCAAGTATTTTAGTTTTGTTTGAATCTGAATTAAACTTCTTTACTCCTATTTAAACTTTGCTACCAAGGTAAAAAAAAAAAAAAAGAAATTTTGGAAACCTGGTAATGACAAAATTGAGATTTATTCACGATGCTGTCAACACTTAAATCACTAAGTGCTTTCTCTGCTAGATCTTACCGATAAAGCTGGTGACTTTTTGACCTCTCAGCGTCCTTGTCTCATAACGGGAGAGGGTCTTGGAAGCCAGAAGAGTGAGCAGGAAGCTGAAGCTATTCACAAAGAGAACTTGGAGAAGCTGCGGTCCATGTCTGAGGAAGAGATCCTGCAGGAGCAGGCAAGGCTTCTGGCTCAAATGGGTATGTGCTTCCCAGGGTTGGTTCTTGAGATGTGAAAGTTTACTACATATGTACATGTTCTGAAGTCTTAACAAGTTCACAGGTCAGAGATGGGAGCATAGAATTCCTGCTCATTCCATACATGTATCACCTATCTTCCATGCCATGTCAGTAGCTTATGAATAAGAGCTAAGTATGAAGAAATTAAAGAGCGTTTATTTCTCAGTGAGAGATAGTTTGGCTTAAGTCTTTCTCATCCCCCTTCTGCTGTGGGATAAGATGCTCCATGCACTCTGTTGTTTTGCACACCAAATATATGGTTACATATATGTGTATTAAGGTCCTAGAACGTAATTCTCTGAAGCAGATAAGAAAGCAAAGCTATAGCAATGCTGACGTGAGAGCGAGCCCTTGGTCTTCCTCTCCAAAGTACTAAGACTTGGGCCAGAACTGTCAGTATCCGAATAGGGAGAGCATATGGGCATGTGGGAGTTTTCAATTCAAATCTATTCTTGGTAGAGCAGAAGAACTTACAACTAGTCTTGACTTCTTGAAAAAGTGTTTTAATTATCAGGCTGTTGGGTGTGGGAATTCTGGCAGGGGTCTGGTTTGGAGCCCTGTTCACAGTGGTGCTCTGGGAATGCCTGTCACTGGCAGGTGATGACCAGGCAGAGGAGAACACTGACTGTGGTATGCTTGATAAGACTTTATGTGACCTAGGGCACTGTAAAACTTGTTGGTGTTGGGTTCAATGGATTTATATGCTTAAGAAGAGCAGATGTACAGATGTAGGTGGCAGACAAGGATTTTTTAGATACTCATAATTTCAGATCCTCTAACATCAAATTTAGGTGTGAACGGCATTTTAGATGCATAAATCGTGGGCTCAGCTTAAAGATCATATTCATGATCTTGACTCCATTGCTAGCAGCAATGGAATATTGGGTATAACTTGAAAAGTTGGCAGAGGAACTGTGCAAAATAATTGCAGACAGAATGTTTAGGTACATTCTTCGTTCAGAGACCTGAACTCTCCAAAATTACTATTTTGTTTAGCTTCACTGCTTATAACAATGGCATGTGTATGAAAAATATCCTGTTTATTCACTTTATTCTTGTGACTGATTTGTTATCTTTGCTCCTTATCCTCGCCACTCCATCCTTTGGGATATTAGTGAAGTGAATACTGAAGGAGGTTAAAAAAGGATAGGATGTATTTTAAGTATTTTTGAACAATATTTTCTGAAGCAGTGTGGGTTTTTTATATGCTCTGTGGGTTAAAATTGTAGATATTTCAGTCTTTGAGGTCTTAAGGAAACTGGGAGTAATTTTGGAATTCCCAGAATATTTGTGGATAGGGAATTATGCATGATGAAGCAACTCCTAAACTAAATTGCTGACTTACAGATTAACTTTGGAACTGGACAGGCACAGAGCTGTGGATTAAGGAGACTTTTTCTCCGTATTCAGAAGTGAATGATTTGTGGGTGTTAAATGCTGCCCAGTCCCTGAGTTAACCTCTTAGTTATGAAGCAGATGATACTTAGTGGTGTGAAGTATGAGGATGAGTAGACAATTCTGTGCTGGGCAGTGTCTTCGGGGTCTTATTGTTGGTACTATTCTGGTTTTGCTCATGGTGACTCTGGACAGAAGCAGGCTTAGTTTCTGACATACTGTGCACAGATTGATTTGATCAGTGACTTGTTTGCCACTGTGTGAAATGATGAAATAATGAATACCGTCTTTTCCTTGCTGTGTACAGTGAAGTGTGAGAAAGTGAGAGCTCTGTTTGCATTCAGAAAAAATATGAATACTTTAATGGGACTGGGCTGAATGCCTGTCCTTTGTTAAGGAGGGTTTAAACTGCATCATGAGGAGAAGGTGCAGCAATCAAAAGTGTGGGATAGATGTTTCAGAGATATGGGAGTCATTTTTGAGACGACTTATCTCAGGTACAGAGCGTTTCTAGATTGCTTGTCCTCTAAGGAATAAATAACCAATGTAGGTGTTATGTTCTTTTACTTTATATATCTCTGACGTTGCTTATTGGAGTATTTCTGTACCTTGTACAGACTTGGGCCAGAACTGACACAGAAGCACAATGCACAATCTCTTACTCAACCTCTGGCGTAAGCATCCCAACACCATCTTCTAGATGAAGAGTATTCAGAGACAGTGCACTCCATCTGAAATGATGTGGGATATATCTGTAGCAGATCTAAAAGTAAAATGACCATCTTAGAGCCGTAGGAATAAAACCTATCCTTCAAACACATCTACCTTCCAAATGTTTCTCTTCCGCTCCAAAGCATGAAGAGAATGGCCGTGTCTGTTTTCTGAATGTTGTCAGATGATAATTGACTCTCAGGATGAGGAGTCAGTTCAGAACAAACAAAGTCTCCTTCTTGTAATATAGTATCTAGACTATGAACTGCAGCTCTAGTGCAATTGAATAAAGAGCAGGTAATTCTTTTTGTGATGTCTGTCCTGAGTATTCTCGTAGTGTTCAGATTGATGCCACTGAGTAGTCCACAGGCAGGGTAGCTGAACTGTCAGACCTGGGTCCCTCTTGTAATTAACAGACCAGAATTCTCTCCACAATGAATAGTCTTGTTTGGATGTGCCTTTTCAGTGTCAGGGATGGGGAAAAGAAAAAACTATCTCTTTATTTGTAGCTGAGAAAATAACTAGAATTTTTGTGGTTGCTTTACCTTGAAAGAGATTTGTCAGTTCTTTCTCTGGTGTCTCCTCACCCGTCAGTTGCACCCAGCTTATGTGCCTAAGAGGTCTTAAAGCAGTGAAATGCTTTTTCAGTTTGAAAAGAAGTGACAATTGGTACAGAAGAAGAGGGCATATGGAAAAGACTGGAACATAAATAGCAGGAGCCATAGGCATATGAAGTATTTTGAGGCTTTCTGTCACATCTCTGTCTGTCTCTTTGTCAATACTTGCAGATCCCAGTTTAGTTGCTTTCTTAAAGTCACAACGTGGTAACAATGAAGGCCAGAAAAAAGAGTTAAAAATGGAACAGACCAGACCAGAGGAGTTTGTGGAATCTCTGCCCATGGGTCAACATGGTGTAAGATCATCTCTTTCCATGCAGGAGTTGGGTCTGGAAGAATCTGTAAGGAAGGAAGAAAATAAGAAGGTAGAAATCACAGGTAAGAAACAAAGTGCATGTTGTTAATTTTCTGAACATAAATGTTAGGTTTGTATGGTGTTTGTACATCAATCCAGATTGATTGACGGGCTTCACAGATTAGAAAGGTGATACACTATGTAATGGAGCTGAGCTATTCAGTGGGAGATCTTGCTTTTTTTGAAATTTGTTCTGAGGCCTCTGGGGGAAAAATGTAGTTTAAGCTTGGCATTGTTACTCTTCTGTTCCATTGTGTGAACAGGGAAACAGGAGAGTGTAAGTAGTGAGATTCAGCTGCTGCTTGAATAATTTCTTTTAACTGGAACTGACTGGGGACAAGAGGGTGATGGGTAGGTAAGAGTTAGTGATTTGCTCACAGGATAGCATGGAGATGATGGTCTCATTTCAGGGAAATTGGTCATATAGAGCATGGATCTCTTAGCATGACAGTGCTCCTGATGGACCCACTCTGTGATCTGTGTCTCAGAGCCCAGACAGTGATTTCCACAGGATACAGTTCTTTTCTTTGTGCTGTGAATGGAGTGGGAAGTATTAAGGTGTAGAGTGTTGTTCTGCTTTTTGTGAAGAATGCTACAGAGCTCTTGCCTCTTATGATAGAACTCTTTAATGCTCAATATATACCTGTATGAGGAGAAAGCTGCTTTAGCAGCAGCAACAAGAGCAACCCATACATTTTCATGGCAGAGAAAGTAAGAGTTTTTTCCTTAAGCTTCTGCTTTTATTTCCTCACTGCTTTTTTTTTTCTTTAGCAATTTCTTTTTCTCTGTGGTGATTTTTAGGCTCCCATTCTCATTTTCCTCACAGTTTTGTTCATAGTATGCTTCTCCCACAATTTCATGTCAATTTTTGGCTGTCCCCATCTCCTCTGATCCTCTCTTCCGATGCATTCTTTGTGTTCCAGTAACATGCAGACTATTAAAGAAGTCTCTGAATCACCCCTGGATTTCATCTTGATGTTTGCAAGAGATAACCATTTACCATTTTCTTGCTGAGAAGGATGAGTTCTGTGAGTGTATGTGTGTACATGTGCAGGAGAAATAAAGCTAATTAACCTCTTTCTGATGAAAACACTTCACTGAACAGTCCTTTTGCTGTTTCTCCCCAAGTTTTACTTTTCCATCTTAATCAAAAGGACTATTCTTAGTTCTTTTTTAGTTCCAAAACAATTGAGTGCACAAGTAGCACCAGGTTAAGTGAAATTCTTTTATTCGCCTGGGAGCAATAGAAGCATGTTGTTCAGCCTGTAATGGTGGAGTTCCATAGCGGTGCTCTTGGAAATAGCTCAGTGTTTAGAGCATTGTGTGCTGACATCTTTTGCTTCCTATAGAAGATTGCACAGGAAAAAAGAGGAGTTTTCCCAAGATATTTGAAATAACTAAGAAAGTGTGAGTGGAACACAGTTATAAAACCAAGGGAAGCCTTTCTAGCACCTGAATTTATGCCTGCAGCCCATCTTGGCCAACAGGAGATGTAAAAATTAATTTGACATTATCACTTAATGTTGGGATTTTAGCATCTGTTCAATGCTCAGAAATAAACTCATCATGACTAACCCAGCTGGGTTACGCTGAATTTCCCCAGGGAGAGGATGATGACACAAAGCAATGGGATTGCTCAAAAGTCAAACCTGCCTCTCTAATGAGATAAAAGGCTACTGTTTATTAGAAACAAGATGGTGAAGCCTTTATCCAGCAACTTGTAATCTTATGAAATGGAAAAGCAAATTCTGGCACTGAGACAAGAGGGGAAACAAAGCAGAAAGTGAAGAGGTTGGGTAGTAGCCTTTAATGTAACCCCAGTCTGAAAAAGTTCAGTGCAAATGTTGCATCCGTGCTGTCAGCTTGTGTTTTTGCAAAGGGATTTCTCAGTAACAATCTGCTGATGCCTTGAAATATATATCCATCTTTTTTTGTTGACAAGATCATATTATTTAGGGCTGGTAGTAACATGCGTAATCCTGTTCATCGAATGACTTAACCCTATTAATTTGGTGATTAATGGAGAAAACATTTTCTTAAATTACAAATGTCAATATATTTCATTTTTCTGCTGATTTTATTTCCTCTAGTTTTGTATCTACCACCCACAAACATTCTGCTTTCATACATTTCTGATGCTTTTTCCTTCTCTTCAATTAAAATGCATGCTGAGTCTTTGGCTGAAATTCTGTAGAACAGCTTTCTGGCTGAGCAAGATAACTCTGTGCTTGGTTCTTTGCCTGATCCAATACCACATTGATCATAAGGGTGAAGCTTCATCCTATAGAGAATGAGCGCCCTTCATGAAAGTTTATCTGTGAATTGGAGCAAAGTAAAAGGTTAGGTTTCAGGCCAGTTATCAGCAGGAAAAGATCTGATGAAAGAAGAGCATCTCAGTGGGACTCATTGTTCCTTGCAAGAGAAGACCACAGCACTAGGATTAATAGCCACAATGCAAATGAGCTCTGGGCAGCTCCAGCAGGAGTGGTGATGCTGCTTTTCATGCCCTTAGACTGCCTGTTACTGTCTGTATGTGTGATTTCTTTTGAGACTTCTCAAAGACTTCTTAGCGCATCTCTTCTCATTCTGGTTTGGGATAATATCCTAGTAAAAAAGCATTACCTTTCCTAGCGTTCAAATAACTTCCAGTTACATCTCTCTAGTCCCTTCACTTCTGACATTCTTCCACATGCTGATCTGTCTCTTTGCTAGGGCACCTCTTATGATGTCAGGCATAAATGTCTTGTTTCTCAAATTCTTCTAATCAAAGCTCTTTATAATGTTAAATTAGTAATTTCTTCCTCTGGTATTTGTACCTTTGACATTGTTGTTCAGCTGTCCAGTTTCCCCACTGAGCTGTCTCCCTGGCAAGCTGTGCAAATTTTCAGCTGTTTTGTTTCCCAAGCTGGTCTCCTCAAGCCTTTAGGGGTGATACTGAAGAGCAACATCATGAATGCAACAAATAATAGTATTTGTGCTCTCTTCAGTGTATCTGGGCTGAAATCATACTGGCTTCCAATAATTTTCTTGGACTCTCTGCATTAATACTTTTGAATCATCTCACATCTCCCCTAACACTCCCCTCCTTGCATGATATTAGTTTGCTTTCTCAAAAGTAAGGCGGATATTATTTTTTCTGCACTAGTTCTGATAATTTTGCCTTATTTGTGTCCTGACTTCTGTTCAACTTCTCCTAAATTAGCTTTGTCGGTGAATTTCATTACAGTGCTGTTTACTTCCTCTTCTAGCTCTCATGAAAGATGAAAATAGCTTTAAACCTTTGATGTTTATGCATCAGACAACAGACAGTTTGAAAATGGTTTTCTTTTTATTTTATATAATCTATATTTGAAGCAGTCTTTAAGCCAAGTAGCTTGGCACAGGGGGAATAGTATTTTCTTCATCTCTATCTTAGAAAGTAAGACTGCCATTTCTTTCCCCCCCCACAAAGATGATGATCTGCCTGTGAAGCCCAGGAAGGAATGGATTCACATGGACAATGTGGAGTTTGAGAAGCTAGAATGGATGAAAGATTTGCCTTCACCCCGGCAGAAGAAAACCAAAGAGGTTTGAAGGCAGAAACTGATATTTGCATGTTTGTATCTGAATCATGCTTCTCAGCAGTAACAGTTTTGAAGGCTTCAAAGACTAGTCCTCTGGCTACTCAGTCTGTAAATTTTTAAAAGAATTTGGGGCCTGATATGGGGTGTTTTTGAACTGTCATCTTCCAGCAATTGATGTAAAAAATGGTATTTTAAGTGATGAATGGAGTGGACAGCAATAGAAATAATAGTTTTCTCCCTCCACCCATTTGTTGTAGGGAATGCAAGCTCGATTCAGTTTAAAAGGAGAATTGATTCCTGCAGATGCTGATTTGCCAACACATCTAGGCTTGCATCACCACGGAGAAGAGGCAGAGGTAGGTATAATGTAGTACAAAAGGGTGCATCCATTTCTGTTTTCTGTGTTTCATTTGGTAGATTCCTTTTGTGTCAAGACTTTTTAGTGACAAAAAAGAATCTTAGAAAAATGGAGATGAGTGATTTTTCTTTAGAAACAAACTCCTAGAGACAAGTTGAGTTTGCATACGTTAACTTCTTTATGTCCAGAAAACTCTGTTAATGCTATTAAGGTTCTGTGGTATTGGAAAAAGGTGCATGTACTTCCTTTTCTTAAGAGGTTCTGTATTCTCCTGTCACATCAATTAGGAGAATCTCTTCTGCAATTGCCACAAAGTGGCAAACAACATTGCATTGCAGTTTTATCTTCTGTTATTCAATCTTTTATAGTTAATCTTATTTTGAGGGGCCTGTTTTTACTTATAGCTGAGGGTTGTTTTTGGTTTCTTTGTTCTGTTTCCCCCCTGCCATTTAGAGGGCTGGTTATTCTCTCCAAGAGCTCTTTCATTTGTCTCGCAGCCAAGTTACACAACAGAGGACACTGGCTCTACAAGTCCTAGGTCGTATTGTTCAAAAGGTAGGTCACTTTCTATAGAAATTCCCCCCATAATTCCAGTTTCTGATGTATCAGGGCCCAGATTCTCTAGTACTAGTTGTCTGCTTTCTGCAGTTCAATGGAGGTAAGCAAAGTCACCTACAGGGCATTCTTTTTCACTGAGGATCCTTACTGTTAGAAAACCTAGTGTTGGGATATAACAAACTGAGATTGGGGTTTCTCTGAAGGGTTCCAGAGTGTACTTCCAACAAGTTGTTCCAACTGTTATTTGGCAGCAGTGCTGCAGCTTCAGTTCTTTTGTTGATTTGGACACAAGTTTGGTTTTTTTGGTGTTAACTTTTGTGACAAACCCATTCTTGGCATTGGCCCTTTCACTCTGGTTGTCTGAGCCAGCTTCACAATGTGCATTTCCTGTAGGAGGTGAGAAAGAACCAAGCCTACTCATAGAGCAATGTGCCAATACCATAAAGCAAAATGAATACTTCTGTGCACATTTCCACCTAACTCTTGAGGGAAGTGCTAACCTTCTACCTAATGGCATTGGAGACAGAGAAGAAATAGCAGTGTTGTTTTGAGAAGGACAATGGGGCAGAACAGGGTGAAGTCAAAAGATGGGTTCAGACTTTAGAAAGAAAATGTTCCTGCATTAAGGAACTGTAGTTGTGTGCCACTGTAGAATGAAAGGAGGATAAAATAAAGGAAAAAAAACCTGCACACAGTTTAGCGGCTTTACAGTAGAAAGGGGAAGAGGCAAAGATGTGGAATGTTGAGATGTACCCAGCTTAGATGAGACAGCCTTAACCCTGGCTCTTTGTGACATACTTTTCAGGCCAGGGCTGGAGAGTTTGCTTCCTCCTTGAAAGGCAGCGTTCTGCGTCTGCTGCTTGATGCTGGATTTCTCTTCTTGCTGCGCTTCTCTCTGGATGATGCAGTGGATAATGTCATGGCAGCATCTGTTGGTGCTCTCCGGGCTCTGCTGGTGTCCCTTGATGATGAGGTAGGACAATCAATAAGTGCTTGAGTTTGATTTCAAACTGAGCTGTTCACAGGAATCAGAATGAGAAGACCTGGTAAGTAGCTTGAACAAAGGCTTACTGGATGGGTTAGCTTAACGGTGAAGAGAATGTCATTCCTGTGCTTTGGGACAGACACTGGAGTATGTTATCCCAGTTTGAGAGATTCAGGTATCTGTTTTTCTACCTGTTTGAATTAGCTCTGCCCCATGATTAAATTCAGTGTGGACTGCTGAGTTGAGTTTCTCTTTCTTTTGATGTCTTTGCAATCTAGATCAGGCCACTACTAATGTATGTGTAGAATTTAGTTTTTTAATATGGTCTATTATGTTGTTGTTTTCTTATTTTATAGTTTTCCTGCTTCTTAACAGATGCTTTCCTTTGTGCCTCATAATAATGCCATTTTCTTTTTCTCTCGTTGTCCATTTTCTGCGGTTCTCATGTGCTTTTGTTCCCATGTTCTTTTGTAATACTGATACATACCTAATTTTACCTTCTCATATGTTTATTTTCTTTTTGATGCTTTTTCACCTGGTAGAAGGTTGAGACTTCTTTTAGGTGTTCAGAGCTAGTAAAGAGCCTCCAGTAGCAAGATTAAAATGTATTCCTGGTTGGACAGAAGCAGTCCGTTATAGGCAAAGCATGCTGTGGGCTCTGTTGCAAGTTCCTTCCTTGAGAGCTGCTCCTATGTCTGACTGCAGAGGGGCTGGTGACAGACAAGAGTGGGTAGAAACTCCCTGCAATTTTACCAGGCCTGCAGAGCTATCCGTAGTGGGAGGCAATAGAAATGAAGATAGCTTTCTCCACATGTTCCTCCTTTTCTAAGCTATGAGCCTAATGGAGTTCTGCTAGATGAGTCCTGCCCACCCATGGTAGGTAATTAGTGCTATAAATCAGCTTCTTATTGTGTTTTTCTTTCTTCTGATACTGCTCTGGTTTATAACTGTCTGCAGTGCTCTGATTTTCAGATCAAAGCCTGTGGTGTGATGTCTTGTGTAAGCCGGGATTGCTAACTGTTGGTGCCAGAAGCAACACTGTGGGTGCTCTGTCAGTATGTTTTCTAACTTGGGTAGTCCTTCCTAGAGTCTTGTGTTGCTGAATTTCAAAAGGTCTCTGAGAAAGGAGCAGAGCTGAAAGTCTGGCATTCTGCTCCAGGATTCGTAAGACAAGTAGGATTTATCCTATGAACACAGAAGATCAACACACATAAAAATCAGTCTGAAGGTTTTGTTCATCCATCAACGGCCCTGAGAAGGAGGCAACTTGCTTTTTTTTTCCTTTGAAGATCCAGCTACTTTTTCTTATGGTTTTTCTTCTCTCAGTGGAAGGAAGACAGTAGTCCCAAACTGTATTCCAAATGGACTCATAGTTTCATCCCCTAAAGTCAGGCCTCTTCTGACCATGTCATTCACTCACCATCTTTAGTTAATCTTGCTTTTCTTTCTTTTTTTTCTTAATGTCTGATAATAACTTGTGCTTCCTTGTTACTTGGCAGTTGAAGTCTACCACTTCTTTTCTGACTAATATGGTAGTTATTTCTCATTATGGGTTCAGGAAGTGGAAATTTAAAGCAGTTAATTAAGCGGTGCAAGTACTTGATTTGGCTATCTGTTATATTCTAAAACATTTTGGAGGAAGCAAGTCTGTTATGGAAGCAATCCCCTCTCTGAAGAGTTGGAAGCTCTCTTATTGTGCTATTGCTGTATAACTTGAGAGGACCTGACACTGTCATTAGCTGTGAACAAAAAAAAGGGGGTTTTCTGTTTGCTGAAACTTGGAGTGTTCAAAGAAAAGCCAAACACACGTGAACAAATACACTAGGTAGTCTTTATTTTATCATAACAATTTTTGCATGATCTTTCTGTGTTATTTGTGACCTAAGTTCCACGCAGGTGCAGAAATGGCAATAGAGCCAATAAATGTTAAATTTCATTTGAACTTCTATAGCCTTGGTGGTTTGATTATTTATTTATTTATTTATTATCCTAAATGTGTTTCAGTTAAGCTAAATTTCTGTTACCTGTGTGGTGAATTCATGTTGTAGTAATTACTTTTCGTAGTTTCCCAAGTGTGTATGTATGAGGTTAAAATCACTTCCCTGAAAAAGCATTGCTTTCTACTTGTATATGTTTAGAATGTCCTTTATTATGTTCCTGTTTTCTTGGGCTTAGGTGGGAATCAATAAAGCATTCCATAATAAAAAGCATCTTTGAAAATTTTTTGTTTTCCATGATTTCTTTGGGAGAATTTTTTTATATGCTTTTACTCTCCTTATAGAAATATCTTGATTGGACTTTCTCATGGTACCAAGGGATGGCTACATTCCCCTTTGTCCCCAACAATGAGGAGGAAGAAGATGAGGAAGAGGAAGAATTAAATGGAACAGAGAAATCTCAAGATAAAAAATTAAAGGATGAAAACAAGCCAGATCCAGATGTGGCCCGATATGATGTTGTAAAGGTAAGCACATTTTCTTTTTAGGAAAATAGCACACACAGCACTGTGCTGAGCCTATTGAGACATCTACTTTCTTGTGCATCCTGGACAAGAACAAGAATTAGAACTCTTCCCTGGCTGTTGGTTGTTACGTTTCTGTCATGTATTACCAGGAGGATGATTTTATTCATCTCTAAAAATGTTGAGACTTGACTTGTGTGATTTCAGTATCTTTAATATCTCTTAACTTCCTCTAGGAAAATCGACAACAAGCACGCTGATGACCTTGTAAGACTTGCTGAAAGGCTGCATACAGATGTGACTTTCAAGCTCACTTACTTGAGCTAAAAGTGAAGAGGTTCCAACCGTTATTAAAATGTTTTTTGTAAAGTTGAACAAGAATATTACAGCTAGATAGTTCAGAACTAGTAGATTTGTACAATGATATTCTTTTTTTATTTGACATTAGGTGGTTACTTACCATTTCCCCAAATTTCATTCCTCATATTTGTGTTTCTCGTATTAAGAGTTTTACAGCATTTGAAGGGAATCCCTCCCACATTTGAAACCTAATCCCATATTTTTGATACAAGATCTAAAAATTTTTGTTATCTCAAATTCAGTCTTGGTCGAGCTGATGCAACTCTCTTGCCTGCTGCAGTCAGTAAAACCTGTGATCACATCAGTTAGTCCTTTTGCTTGAGCACTTGGTTTAAAAGCATCACTGGGTGAATGAATTACTGTACTTGGGCATCTGCTGTTGTTTAGAAGCTTTATGATTTTGGATGTGTTCTACTAGGTGTGTGACACTGTTTAAAAAACTTAACAAAAGAGTTTTAGGTAGAATTGAGATCAGTTTGTGATTCTGGAAACAGTTGCACAGTTCAGCATAATGGATTTTAATTTGTTCCAAGTGACCTGAACTCAGAAGGTATTTGGGATAAAATTCCCCACTGTTCCCATTGTTGTGAAATTCCATTTCACACCTGCATATTGGCTGTTACAACCCAATTATTCCACACAGTTGGGAAAGGAGTATTCAAACTAGCTGCTGAACTTGGTCAGGCCTAGAACTGCAACTTGCTTGGCTGCAACTTTTAAAAAGTAATAGTACTAGAAATTCAGGTGTTATGTATTTGCCTTTTTGCAGAACCAGGAATGCATAACACTGTTAAGTAAACTGAAGATTTGTTTCCTGGCACTGCCACTGGTCCTGGTCTTCTACTCAGTGAACCATAAATAAAAAAATCACATCATCTCTATACATCTCTTTTTCTATTGCAGAATAGGAATTCGTGTCTGTTCTCTGCTTCTGTCTACTTTCTCTGACATGGCAGGTACTATCAGACAAAGTGCTGCACTAGGTGGATGTGGTGAAAATGATTCAAGGAGCATGAGAACTCTTTTCAGCAACAATAGGTTTTAATAGTCCTCTCTAGGGAAGATTATTTTCCTATTCCTTGTCACTTGCATTTTATACTCTGGAAAACACAAATACCCAAACCCCACCAATGGTCTGATTCAGAACAGAAGTTCAGTTGTTCCTGCTCTCTTGAGGTAACTCTTGCCAGTGTACTTGAAAATCCCCAGAACCTTGTTTCTTTGTTTCCCCACTGCTAATTTTAAAACCATCTCTGCAGAAGATGTAATTGAATCTGCTTTTGTCTTCCAGCAACTGAAGCGCAGAGAGAAATCAGTTAGAGCATAATGGATTTATTTTTTTTTAACGCCCTTCAGGGACTTTTAAAGACACGGATCCAGCACCGGCTGAGGTACATCCTGGAGGTGGTGCGACCTGTTCCAACGGTAGTCCTGGATATACTGCACATCCTCACCCACATAGCAAGGCACTCCTCTGAAGCATGTAGCCAGGTAAATCTCCCATTGTACAGGAGCTTGGGAATGATAGAGAAGGGTTTGAAAAAGGAAGAAAGAAGCAGGCAAAGTTATGGCAAGGATATTAGACAACTTGTCTGTTTTGCATGTCTTCTGCTTGCCTGCATAACTGCTTACCTTTGGTTATTTGTGCTGCCTGCTGTTTCTCTGCAGCTGCTTGACTGTCCGCGGTTGATTGAAGCCATTGTCAGGGAATTTCTCCCTACTCGGTGGGATCCCCAAGTGGCTGAACCAGGATTTTTACTTACCAGTCTCCATGGAGTTGCTTGTGCCAGTGCTATGAAGTTCATCAGAGTGTTGGCATCCGGAGGCCGAAATGCAACAGCCAGGCTGGTGAGTGGTTCTCGGAAGAGCTTTTGTGATTGTAAAGGCCTTTGCTCTCTATGCCTTACTTTCAAAGTAAAGAGAGAAGTTTATTTAGAGATGACTGAGCTGAAGCTGAAATAATAATTGTGAAGAAAGTGCATCAGTGCATTTTGAAAGATTTTGTCGACAGTGTGATAATAGTGGTGATTCTGCTGTGTACCAGCAGAAGAGCTTCAAGATTTTCTCTGCTTTTTTATGTGGAACACAGTATGGTGATGCTGACCAATAGCAGATGTTTAGAGCACACATTGGTGTGTGATGCTCTGTACTCTCCCTTGTTCCAGTGATAGGTAGCATAGGACTGTATAAGCCAGAGACTTAATCACTGTCCCTGTGTTTTACAACCCTGGTTGAATTTTTCTGCCATTAATTTGTCTTAATAACTCTGAGGTCATTTATCAGTATTTTCAACTCCTCTGAACAAGTTCTGGAGAGGTTTTCCACTTCAGAGATAATTGCATTCACTCATATAGGTTGTCATGCTGGTGCTATAAATGCATAAGATCTACCAAGAGTAGCACCCACTACAGCACTTCTTAGGGTTTTTGATTCAGTTTTGTTAGCACCATCTAACAAATTGTTAGCCAGGAAATTGCTAATATCAACAGAAGAACACCAGTCTGTGCTGTAAAATATGGAGAATAATGTGCTGCTGGTGGATGGTGCCATATTTAAAGGTTGTAAGTTGTGATAGGAATATATTAGAGTAAAATTCAGATAGTTTTCCACTTCAGGCTTGGTGTACTCCAGATGTTTCAAGGCACGCAAAAACTGCTTACGGGGTTCCTGACACTCAGGCTTTGGTTCTGTTGCACTCTTCTATAGTTTTTTACACGTGCTTAAACATGGGAATGGAAGATAATACAAACTAAACCTTCAATGTAGGAATTTATTTTAGCTATCAACAAAGTTCTTCCGTCTTCCTCCTGGAAGTAAAATTGACTTCATCCTCTGTTCTGTAGGAGGGGTGTCAGAATTCATAGTCTGACTCATCAGGTCCTTTGCTTTCTTGTTAGTGTGCATTGATTGCCCTACAAGATGTCTCTAAAGCATTTGAGTTTTAAATCATTTGTATGTCCTTGTGCTGTGAAAAAGACATTGTTACCTCATTTGTTTAGACAGAGCACACACAAGTTTTTGTATGTGTGGGAGGAGGAAAGAGAAGCTCTTTTTTGTGGTTAAGTAAAAATACCCAATTGTAGGGGAGGATAAAAATTATTTCTAGAGAACTGCAAATGAGTCATGTCATGCTTAATTCAATACTAAAATAAGCTCAGAACATTTCCAAGGCATCAACATTCTATAACTTTTTGAAAGTAATAGGCAGGAGGTACACTCTTCTTATAAAATAAACATAGAATCATAGAAAGATTTAGAACCTCTGAATGGCATTTAGTGTGACCTCCCAAAAAGAGCGTCCGCATCAGTTCAGTACTTTGTATACAGTATTTTTCATAAGGTATATTTTTACATGTAATATCGACTAATGGAGTTCTATTTAAGACTATTTAAAGAAGGATAATTACGTATTTTTTTTTAAATAAGTTAAATACTGCAGAAAGCATCCAAAACGAGAGTGTGTGTGGGCTAGATAAACCTCTATCAGAAATTATTTTAGGTGTAGTTGATTTGTGTTAGGAATGGTTTAGGCACCCCTAGGCATCCCTTCCAGGAATGCTTCTCTGTTAATAGCCATTGACCATTTACTAATCCTTTGTACTATGCTCCTTAAGATTACACAAAATAAAGACAGATTTGAAGAGAGGAATTTAGAGTGGGCTGAATTGAAATCTGCAGCTCTTTTTGTGTGTCAGAGTAATGAGGTAATGATGCATGCAACTGATGTGCCTTATCCCCTTGTCTTTCTTGTTGTTTGTTCTCTTTTGTTCATTTGTTTTACAGCTTAACAAATTTGAAATGAAAAGTCGATTAAGTCGATTTATAGCTGAAGACCCTCTGGATCTGCTTCTGCCAAGGGAAGAAGCCATCAGGCTAAGCACAGAAGCCTTCCGGTTTTGGGCTGTGGCTGCTGGTTATGGACAGGCCTGTGATCTCTACAGGTACAGCCCAAAGCTGGAGAAATGGGGGTGGAGAGCAGAACAGAGAAAATGGACATCCTGTTCCACAGGGGCAAATAGAGGGTTCTCTAGGCTCAGTCTCTGTTTCCTTCAGGGTGTCTTATCTCACTTTCTCTGGCCTCCTGCAGTAAAACTCACGGTTTATAAAGGTATTTGTGATGAGAATTGTCCTTTTCTGGTTGGTTTAAGCACTGGTATTTTGTAGTTTCTCTTCTATGCTATGGGAGACCACTGTAACTTTTTAGGGCTGCATCCTTTTCCCCTTGAAGGCATGAATAATCTGTGCTTGTGTGACATCAAGACACACAATTTGCAGCACACCTAGGATTGAATCTGATTGATCTAAGGCAGTCTGTGGCAGCAGTCATCAGCATGCATGCTGAGTGAAGCAGAGTGATGCAGACAAACTGCACAATTGACTTCAGTTCAGTACAAGTTCTTGTGCTTGACCGCCAAGGTCTGCACTGGGATGGGTCTGACCTAGCTCAAGTGTTGAATCTTCTTTTTGTAATTGCACTGAATTGGAAGCAGAGATATGGCTTTGGAGTTGGAAACAGAGAGGTGGCTGTGGAGTTGCTCTGAAGAGGAGTAAAAGGAAGGCCAGAATTGAGTTTCAGAAGGGAGATTCTCATCCACAATAGCATTTTGTGTTCTCCAGCACGATCAGGTATATTAGTTAAAAAGAGTAAAAACTGTATATAGTATTTTAGCTCTGTAAATAATGTTGAGGAAAGAAACAGTGAAAGATTCCTTAAAACTGTAAGATTATAACTGTGAATACTGTGGATGAGAACTTGAGAACTATTCCCTTGCAAGAATAGTTTTTCCAAGAGATAATCAGAGTGCTTAGAGACAGAGTATTCATTAGGTCCCATTCACATGAATTTGGAATGGCAATATTCTTCCTTTGTCATCTTTTTTCCATGTCTGTTTATTTTCATTATTTTGGTGGCGGTGATGATTCTCATAATCTCATTTTAGCAATCTTTATAAATATGTGATGGGAGAGTGTAAAAGAGATAGAGCCAGGTTCTTCCAGTGGTATGAAGTGAAAGTACAAGAAGCAATGGCCACAAATGGAAATACAGGAAACTTCACTGAAGTGTAAGAAAAATTTTTTTACTGTAAAGGCAATCAAAGACTGGAGCATGTTGCAGAGCAAGATCGTGGACCCTCCATCCTTGAAAATATTCAAAATACAACTGGACATATCCCTGGGCAATCTTGCTCTAGCTGAGCTGACTTGAACAGGGAGTTGAAGTACAGATCATCTCCAGAGACCCTTTCTAACCTCATCTGTTCTATGATTCATACTACAGTGATCTCTACCCTGTGCTGGTGAGGATACTGCAGTCCCTGCCTGAGTTGCTCAGCACTTGCGCTGGTAGGAGCCCTATGGTTGAGCTGTCTGTCCAGCGAGCTGCGGCAGTAGTTACTCTGTTGATACATGTGACACAAACAGCAGGCTACACGGCAGAGCTGCAGGCCAAGCTGAGCAGGTAGGCTCTCTCTGCCAGTTCTGTGCATCTGAGTAGTTCCCTTTCTTTGGTTTGGAGACCTCGCAATCACCTTTTCCCCCCTGTCATTTGCAATGGTTTCCTGTCCCACCATATCCTTGCATGGTGGGGTAATATCCTCTTGTATTCCCTCTGACACGAGGTCAGAAGCAGTATCTAGTCTGATAGCTGTATGCCTGCTGGCCTGGTAAGAGGCAGGAGTCAAAATCTGTACTCAGCTATGGGGCAGATGGGCGATGTTAGCCAAATGCCCTGCTGAAAGGAAATAGAAGGCTCCTTTGACCTTCCTTTTGAGGTAAAGAAAATAACCTCCCTGAGATTTGGAGGAAAGAACCTCTCTGCGGAGACCCAGAGGGGTCAGGATTAAGAGGTGGTTGGTTTTGATAGACATCAAAGCAGCAGGATTTGCTGAAGACACAGGTACTTTTTCTGGTGGAAAGGAAGAAACTCTTCAACTAAAGCTGAGTACTGAGATAGTGTGTGGTAAAGCTAGAGCACAGCTCAGGGGCATAGAAGTGCAGGAGAAGAAACTTCAGCTTTTATAAGTAGATCCTGCATTTTTCCTTTCTGCCGAAATTGATTTGATCTGGTCTTTGGGAATACGCAAAGACTTTTTTCCCCTAATCACTGTTGTTGAATATGGCCTTCCAAACTACATGGAATTGGTAATCTTTCTATTAAAAATGATGACAGTTGTTTCTGAGATGTATTTGCTATCCTGTGTCATTCTTCCATTGTGTTTCAGTAATAGCTCAGAAGACAGCGTACAGATTCCACCTCCTCCAGTAGCATGGAATCAAGTGTCAGGCTTACAGCCCTTCCTTGAGACAAGTCTGAAAAAAATCCTTCAGGAGATATCCCATACAGAAACTTGGCAAACTCTCCAGCCTCTGACCACAGCTTGTGTGATCTACTTGGGAGTTTATTATAGTGCTTGCAGCCAACAGGTAAGGCCTGAAAATACAGGTTGTCTTCCCATCTCACCAGCATCAGGTTGTGTGTTACCTAAAATACCTGAACTTAGAGACAGTGCTGAAAGAGACAGAACTGTCTCTCTAGCTGAGAACTAGATTTTGTTTACCACAGCTCATATCTAGGCTGTGTGACATTCAGGGTCACATAAGTCTGCTACTCCTATACATTAGGAGTGCCAAATATCCTTTCTTCTATTGAGATCAGAGTCTCAATCAAGGTATGTGGTAGTGCAGTGATTATTCTGATTTACTGTGGAGATCCAAAGCGTGAAGCAAACATGACCTAATTTAGCGTGGCGGTCCTTTCTTATAGTGGGATAAATCAAGCCAGGCATTTTTGCATTTGCTTTAGTCTGAGAGTTTACATGTGCACACCTACCTGCACTCATCTGGTTGGAAGGTTGAACATTAGGGTCATACCATATGAACTTTGGATAGGGAACAATAAAAATAAATTTATTTGTTGCCCCACTGACATTCAAGGTCAAATTCTGTACAGTTACAGCTGTAGTATGTGACCATCTTTTAAAGTGAATTTTCTGAAGGTGACACATCAGTGTGACGCTGTTGAAGAATAATGTCTTCTGCTTTAGCTACCCTGAAGATCCATGATCTAAAAATAAACACAATTTTCCTCTCTACTGCCCAACTGACATGCCTGAGTTCTAACCTGGGAGAGCTTCCTTCAGGGTGCGGGGGTAATTTAGTGGCTGTAGTTATTCACACTTGTGCAAATCCTCTGAAACTTGACAAAAGCAACTGAGTTTATTAGTTGTGGCTGGGGTAGAAACTGCCTGTATCTCTCAAAGATGTCTTCAGTGCCCCAAAGGTTGGCAGTACCCTTCACATGCTATCATTATGTCCTGGCATTAGAGAACCAGGACAACCAAGAGGTTAATACTCCTTTGTAACCTTTACAGATATCCCAAGAGAGTGGCTGACAGAACAATTTCTTAAGTCCTTGAACTATAATGTGCTGGGTTTTTTAATTTTCACATAAAGGAAGTTTAATCATCTACCTGTGGTTAGTTGATTAAAAAATAAAATTGCATGTGGCACCTTTAAATAGATTAGTGCAAAAAAAAAAAATCGACTTGTATAGTAACCAAATAGTGTGTACTGGGACCTTCTTGGAATATTTTTGTTAAACTACTAAGAACTAAGGTTAACATCTTCACAGAGGTTTTACTGATTTCTGAAGGGGGATTTCACTTGGGGGAAAATTGGATTTTATGTAATGGAAATTAATATTTCTGTATCACAAAGCAGCATTCTAATGAAGGAAAAGAGCATTAAAATTTGCCAGTGTGTTCCTTCAACCTGGAATATTGCTTACTAGGGTCAGAATGGGTAGGTCAATCATGCTTTTTGCAGTTGAATATTTTTTTTAAATTTTTTTTGGAGACCCTTGTGTGCCACTCTAATTTCTCCAGGTAGTTCTGATCACCTTTGTGTCATCTTCAATTTAAATAGAAAGATGTAGATGGTATGAGGAGGGGGATTTAGCCAAGTTTTCTTTTAGGGAATCTTGATCCCATGGATCCCATACCTTGCTTCCAGTCAATTAAGAATCTCTGAGATGCATTTTAATACTTGAGTGTGAAAATACCTTGAGGTGCCAGCTCTCAGCTTCCACACTACGAGCGTGAGGCCAGCTCTAACCTAGAGCAGTACCACTGTGTAGGTGATGTGGTCTGGCCAAAAAAGAATAAACACAGAGAAAGCAATTAAACAAATCTATCTTTTTGTCCTCGCTGGGAGACACTCGTCATTCACCATCTTTTCCTATGTTTCTCCATGTCTTCTGCAGCCATCAGTCAATCCAATTGACTACTTAGAGGAACTGGAGCGTTTGACATCTCAGGTGCTGCAACCCCTTCTCAGCCAGCCAACCATACAGAGCATGTGGGACTTGCTCAGGTAAAACCATTTCACTGCTAAGATGCTGTTGCCAGAAGCTAAGGGAGCCTCATTTCTATACTGTATTGTGTGACAATTCTCCCCCCTCCCATTTCTTTTCCCTGTACCTATGTGCCCCAGATGTGTGAATTAGAGTGCAACAGGGCTCTACACACTGCTTTGTCTTCTTTCCCCTCACAGAAAAAGCATGATGGCCACAGAGGCTCTTCAGTTCCTCTTTTTCTACCTCAGAGATGCTGCTGCGTCTCTGTTTTACCATGTAGCTGTGTTTTTCGTATCCATTTCAGATTATTTTAGTCACTCTTGGCTTTGATTCTGCTTTGGTTTCACTGCTTTTTTTTAAAAAAAAAGTAACATTAGTTGAGTCCCTTTTATGTGAGGAGGGGGGGTGTGTGTGTACATGTACCATTCATGTGCTCTGTGTGATGCTATATATATATAAAATATTTTTACTAGATTCACATCTTCGATCTCCCGCAGAGCTTCACTAAGGCTTTGAAAGCCCCTGTGGAAAAGTGAAAAGCCACATACCGGGATAACATAAGCTCTGATTCTGGGAACAGTTAAGCACTGCAGATATTCTGTCTTTCTGCTGTAGAGGGAGCCTCCTTACTAGGCTGTGATCCATCCTCTGGGCAGGAGAGTGGGAACCTAAAAGGCCTAGTAATCAGGGAGAAATCTGTCTGCTTCTGAGAACATCTGATATAAGGGACACTTGAAATTTTTGGGTTTAAGTGGTATTTGAATGGTCACCAAACAGTTTGGCCCATGTTCTTTCATGACTGGAACCGATGTCTGAAGCTCTTGGCACCAAAGCTTCCAACGTGAGCACTTATTCGACCCTTTTCTGCCTGTCCTTGAGGTCTGAAAACAGTAGGTTAGGTCAGACTATAAAAACCCATCAGCAAGAATTCTCCTAGGCTGTTCTTAACATTGGCTGGTGGAAATGAAGAGTCAGATAATCTCTGCCTGAATATTTTTACAATTTTGTCTACATTTTCTGGGCAGATTAGGGCCAGGAGTTCAAGGTACTCCATGAGCTCCAGATGTATTCATGCATCTCCGACATGTAATGCCAGTGGTAGAAAGAGCTATGCATTTAAGCAAACCGTTTTCTGTCACAGAGTAACAATATGGATCTTCGACAGGGTTTTTCCTATTGCCCCATTACCACTGAGCAACATGCTTATGGTTGCTCTTCCTTGTGGCGGTCTTGCCTGTACGGACATGGCGTATCCAGTGTGGGCCCCACAAGCACTGCTGGTATTGAAAGTTCTAGTTTTGCCTGCAGAGAACACACGCACACCAAGAGTGGTTTGCATGGTCATGTTTGCGTACATTAAAGCTAGTTTTTTTCTGAAAAGATTCTAAAAATATGCATTTCATGAGCACATAAAGGGCAGCATTTTTGCCATGTCAATTTTAGGTATAATCAGGCTTTTTGGCTTTGCCTACAAGTTTATTACTGTAACGTCTTGAGTGGGTGGGCAGCTTTATTAGCCTGGTTTGCGTATGTATGTGGGGAAATGTGTGATTTTTTTTTTTCAATCGAAGGTCCAGTGTTTCCAAATGCTTGACATCAGAGATGCGCCACTGCATTAGTATTTCTGCTTGTCGTGACCAATTTAGCTGAAGATAAGAATTTGTGATAGCTCACTGGCATTAGCTTGTATGGCACTGGACTAACCGTGATACTATTTTTTTTCTTGCACAGTCTTCAGGGCTTCTGTTTTACTGTAATGTGTGGTACATTTGAGGTAGAAAGTAACATTCCTTACAAGATAACTCCTCAGCAGTATGAATGCTTTTGACCTGACCCCCCTCTCTTTATTTGTTCACACAGGCCGTGTTCTGCTTTGTGCAACCCTCTGTCCTGTTCCCCGGCACCAGAATCCGTCATCAGCATTTCATCTCTGAGTTGCACTGGAGGCAAACCTCCTTTGAGCCTGGTTGGCTCCAAGTCACCTTTCCCCTTCCTTACTGCCCTCCTGTTTCTCATCAATAATATCACTGATATTCACAAGGGCCTGACCAGCAAGGTAAGAAAAGACTTTTTCACTGTAAATTTCACTGTAAATTCTAGGTGAATGATGATATACTTGTGAGGGAGGTTAGTATTTCTATCTTTCCAGCCTTAAAAGAGATGTTAGAAGGACCGTTAAAAACAAATTTCTGTGCATTTTTATTTTAAAACTATTAAAGTATTATAGAGAGAAATACCCTAATTTTCAGAACAGGTGGGATGAGGATCTGAAAAATATCTTGTCTTTGAATTGCAATATCCAGTTGACACCAGGAAGCTGGAATTATAGAACAGGTGGCATTTAAATGATGGAGTTATAAAGAATGTTGAGAAAAATTGAGTAACTGTCATTTGGCTAAGCAGAATAAGTAGCTTGAATGTCAGTGGAGGAAAGGCATGGTTGAAGCATGGGATAATATTAAATAAGAGAATGACTGCTACAGTGACTGAAGAGGTTCCTTCCTACTTCAGATTGTCCTGAATTTGTAGAATGAGTGAGTTATGGAAGATCACAGACTCTGAGGAGAAAATGACTGAGCCCTAGAGAGATAGAGTACCTAGCATAAGCTTTCTCAAAGCCTTCCTGTCACCTTGCGTTGAATTAGGTATTTACTAATAGAAATATCTGGCCAGATAAGGGAAAAACATGTTTAAGCCCCTGGCCAGACTTCTGCCTTATGAAGCACTATGCAGGCAGTGACTACTGGCTACCTGTAATGGGGATGGTCATGATGGATGCAGGTGAACCCAGAGACAGAAAAGCAGATATTTATCAGGCTGTTTTTAAATACCCCTTTTGGAGTAGCCAACAGGAATTCTCATATAAGGAGGTAGGAGGTAAGCCTTGGAGAGAGGGCTATGTTTTACTTTCCTTCAAGCACAAACTGTCTTATTTGTACCCCTGCTTGTGATTCCTTTACAGTACAGCTCTGTGCTGGGCTTCAGAGGCTTGAAGGATTATCTGCATCAAAGCTGGCAGACTGGACCTCCCTCTGTGACTCCCTCATCTGCATGGATCCTACGCCATGAGTATCATCTGCAGTACTTTGTGTTAGCATTGGCTCAGAAAATGGTATTGTTATTAGTCCTTTCATTTCTTTCACCCAAGGAATTGACTTTGCTAGCAACCAGTCTTCACATCCGTGTTCTTTCTTGTGTCTGACTTAGGTCTGGTGACTCTTCAGCTGACTTTTATGCCCCATTAGCAAATAACATCTTTACAGTTACTGATGTGGGGATTTAGTCCCAAAATACTTTATATGGCAAAATATATTTTTGCATGTCTTAGGGATAGAATAAGAACAAAGTTTTCAACTGTGCTGCTAAAAAAATGTCTGACTCCCTAAGGCAGTTAGGGGAAGGAGAAAGATCTCTTGGTATGAATGCTGACAGCTCTTGCAGTCTGCCTCAGTCTTTTACTTTCCAGCAAGATTTGTGTCTTGTTTGACCCTCCTGTCCTCATTGATTGTCTTTGTTGACAAATGATATAGTGCTTTTATGTGTTGTTTTGTTTCCTGTACAGGCAGGCGCTTGTCCGAATTACACCCAGCATGCCTCACTCCATCACTGTGTTGCCATGGCATTGCTAAGCCGTCTGTTGCCAGGGAGCGAGCATCTGGCTCACAAGGTCCTACTGGATCTTGCCTTTAATCCAGAGTTTCTTCCGTAAGCTTTGCATTTTTTCCTTTCTGTAGGCTGGTACATGGGAAAACTTGGGGAAAATGGAAAAAAACACATTGGCACTGTAATTTTGTCATAATTTCTGGCCTTTAACAGGGCCTGTATTTGAATTGTGGTTATTCTCCAGGCACTGAGCCTTCTAATCAGACAAGCACCGTGGTTGCATATTTCTCTCTAATGTACCAATGCTGAGAAATGTGCCTGGTTTCTTTTGATTTCCTCTGTGAAAAGGCTTGTGTGATTCCTGATAGAACTGATTTTCATTAAGGCCCGGCATCTGCCATCCTGAGAGTAGCGATTCTAGAAAATAAATGGGAATTTGACATAGCCTGAAAAACTTAATGAAGTTTATGAGTGGGTTTGTATGTTTGTGTGGTGGTGTTTTAGTTTTTTGTTTGGTCAGCAAAATGGTCAGTGTTTGGTCTGAGATCATGGCATATGGATTTGACAAACACCCTCCACACACGCAGTTTCTGACAGTCTGTATGGTTCCCCTGACCTTTCCACTGCCAGCTGCAAAGCTACTGTTTTGAGAATTGTCTTACTGATTCATGTAGGCCTTATATGATATGCAGTATTTCATCTCAGCACTCTGACATCTGTGTTAGTAAGTACGCTACCTCTATGGAAAAGGGGTTTCAGCCTCCACACCAGACTGCTGGCATTGTGTGGAGGTTTTTCGTGCCACAGCCTCAGTGTTGCTAACTCCAAAGGTGGTTCTGTGAATTCCCTATAAATACCAAGATAGCTGGTGCTTTATGGGCACTCTATATTAGAGTACCTGAATGCTGTAGAAAGTGTTGCCAGTGCTGTGCATATGCTACTCTTCCTGTTCCAGGAAGGTTGTAGAGATGAATTTATGTGCTGTTTTATTTGTTTGGTGTTTTAGGGGGGCTTTTTGCTTGTTTGTTTCTTAAACTGTTGTTTGTCTTTGTCTTATAGTGAAGGGAAAGCCGGAGGGCCAGAAGCAGCTGACTTCTCTGATATTCTGCATCTGGGTACCAGTGCAAAACTGGCACAGCCTGGCTCTGCGACAGCGGTTTTTTCAAAGGTTACTCGTGGTGCCCTGCTGAGAGAATCGTATCAGAATCTGCCTTCCATTCGTTCCTGTTACCTTTCTCATTTTGTCCACTTGCAGCCCACTCTTATGCATTCCCAAGCGTCCTACCAAGGGCGGAATTACCTCATCCAGTCAATGCTGCTTCCTGAGGTCAAAGGGCCCATCCTGCCTTCAGACTGGCCGTTCTTTCCACTTATCAGCCTCTACAACAAAGTGACTAATGCAGAGACACATGGGGCTGTACTGAACTCTCTCCCACTTGATCTTGTCAACACTGTGACCTGGAACTTGCAGTGGGTCTTACTGCTGGAAACCTGGCGTGCTAAAACCCTTCAGAGCATCCCTACTGCTGCCAAACTTGCACGGCTTATGTGTGTCTTCCTCACAGGCTGTGACCTCTTTCTAGAAGCACCAATCCACCGCTACACAGCTGGCCTTCTCTCTGTGTATTGCCAACCCAAGGCCCTGGACTCCCTGAACTTGGATGCTCCTCTCCCTGGTTTGGCATCCTTCCACGACCTCTATATAAGTCTCCTGGAGCAGTTTGAAGGTGTCTCCTTTGGAGACCCACTGTTTGGAGTCTTTGTTCTTCTACCTCTACAGAAGCGTTTCAGTGTTCATCTGCGTCTCTCTGTTTTTGGGGAGCACACAAATATCCTGCGGGCCCTTGGAGTGCCGTTACAGCAGGTAATCCTTGCTTATGGTAGTTGCATGTCACTGCATATTTCTGGATTACTGGGATCTTGCCTGTGATTCTCCAGCCTTGATTTGGGCATCCCAGCCCTTCCCCTTCTTCCCCATTCCTCTGTTCGAGTAGAATAATCATGCTTTCTTTGCTTAGAAGCTTTTCATTTTCCTTGAAGGGAGTCCAACTCATGAAAATAGAATAGGAATAGAGAGCAATGTTCTTTTGATTTAAGGCTGTAACAGCAGTATATACATTTTACAGCTTGATTGACTGTAAGTCTAAAGAGCAAAGTCCAGCAGCTGTAGGTGCAGGCCTCTGTCACATAAGCATTTTCAGACACCTTTTGAACTTTATTTTGAAAGCAGATAGTATGTATATGTGGAGGGCAGGAGCTGTGAAATTGCTCAGTCTTCAGTGGAAACTGTCCCACACCCTGCTTGGTCTAATGATTGAGAACCTTCTAATTTATAGGCTGTATATGGAGGGCTCACCGCGTCCCGTGTTTCGCCAGCAATTGCCTTTCCCTTAAATAAATATTTCACACCTTGGTGAGAACCTTTTCCTTGCCCAGTGCATTGACAAATACTAATTTTCCCTATCAACCATGTTTCCACATTTAGTCATACTGGAATTGTGCTCTGCTGGGTAAGTTGGCAAGAAAATTTGGTCTGTCAAGTTCAGGACTATGTCTCTTTTGAATAAGCAGAGCACAAGAGATAGAATTTAGTGGTGCTGTCAAAAGTGCTCTGTCTACTTACTTTGTAACCACTCTTCCTACCTGTGCCAAAAATCAGCTGCAGTGATAGAACCTGTAAAACATCTCTCCATAAAGCTGAAGAGGTCTTGAGAACACTTTGTCAAGGCATGTCACATCAGTCGGTGTGGGCAGTAGCAGCTCTTGCTGCAAATGGGGGTCTTGCCACCAAGGTACATCATGTTATATAGGCAGGCATGTGCAAACAGCTGGGGAACACCCTAGAAATCATGAAGTTCCCCTCACTACTTAGACCCTGACAAAAATTGTAATGTTGCCTCTGTATGGGTTTGTTGCAGTTCCCTGTGCCGCTTGAGCGATACACTTCCCCTCCTGAGGATAACCTGAACCTCCTGCGACTCTACTTCCGAACACTGGTCACTGGTGCGCTGCGTCACACCTGGTGCCCTGTTCTTTATGTGGTGGCTGTGGCTCATGTGAACAGCTTTATTTTCTCCCAAGAAAGTGCAACGCAGGTAGGTAATGGATAGCAGAACTTCAGGGCTGGAATCTTTGGGTTTTGCATCTGCTCTCCTGGGGGTCCAGTGTGGCTCATGGTGAATCACTGACCTTGGGACTTAAAAACAAAGATTGTAAGCAAATGTGTTGAGAGGACTGGTCAGCTGTTCAGTAGACCACATATGAGGCAGCAGCTTTTGTTCATTATACCCTGAAATACTTGCACTGATGGTAGCCAGTCCCACATAAATTTTTGAAGTCAGCAACTATGTGGGCTGTGGTATCGAGGGAAGAATAAAGCAGAAAGGATGAGGGAGCTGCAGGCAGAGAGAGCTCCACCTAGTTGATCCAGGAAAGCCAGTTGATGTAATCTTTTTGGATTTCAGTAGATCTTTTGATGCTGTCTCCCACAGTAAATGAGTCTGGCACACAGCTGGATAAACACATCACGTGGTGGGTGAGCAATTGGCTCATGAGTCGAGCACAGAGGGTAATAGTGAATGGGGTGACATCAGACTGGTGACCTGTCACCAGTGGGGTTCCACAGGACTCCATCTTGGGGCCTGTGCTCTTCAATGTCTTCATAAATGACTTGGGCACAAGACTGGAAGGGATAATAAGCAAGTTTGCAGATGACACAAAACTGGGAGGAGCTGTTGAGTCCCTCGAAGGTAGAGAGGCCCTGCAGAGAGACCTCGACAAATGAGAGGAGTGGGCAATCACCAACCATATGAAGTTCAACAGGGGGAAGTGCTGGATTCTACATCCTGGATGGGGCAACCCTGGATGTATGTACAGACTGGGGAATGAGATGCTGGAAAGCAGTGCTGTGGAAAGGGACCTGGGGTTCGTGGTCAATGGCAAGTTGAATCTGAGTCAGCAGTGCCCTGGCAGCCAGGAGGGCCAACCCTGTTCTGGGGACATCAGGCAAAGCATCGCCAGCCGGTCGAGGGAAGTGGTCATAGCACCAAGCCTCACAGAGTTCAAGAATTGTTTCGATGACACCCTCAGGCACATGGTGTGACTCTTCGGGATAGTCCTGTGCAGGGCTAAGAGTTGGACTTGATGGTCCTTGTAAGTCCCTTCCAACTCAGCATATTCAGTGATTCCGTAAAAGATTTGGCCTCTGCCTGAGCAATCTTAAGGTGTAAAGTACTTTTTCCTTTCCTTTGCTTGAGTAACCAAGCAGAAGCTTTCCCATGGCCTTGGAGCCTCTAGCAATGATTAGTTGTGCTAACAACACTTCACCTCTCATCTGCAGTTCTACCTGAAGGTTGAGAAATCAGCTGAGATTCAGATCAGGGAAAGGAGGAGAGAGGCAGGATCCAAGTGATAGCCATCTCAAGCACTTTCTGCTAGAACAAGCTGCTCATTGTCATAATTAACAAATCACCCTGGAGTGCTGTATGCTCATGGGCAAAATTATTATTGTACTCTATTAAGGAAAGTATGTGTTTTGTTCCCAGGAAACTGATGCTGCTCGGAAAAGCATGCTGCGGAAAACATGGCTGTTGGTGGATGAGGTAGGATCTATAAGATTCAGTTTGTACCCATGGGAATTAAATTTTCTATAAATTTGTGTTTAACTGCCTTGCTAATTTGAGAATGAGAGATTAGCAGCAGGATTTTGGCCTGCAATGTCTATAAATGCTGTTAACCAGTTCTTGTAGTAATTGAACTCAAAACACGGAGCCCATTGAAACCTAGATGAATCTCCTGTACTGTATTTCAATCCTCTTTTCCAGGCAGCATTATATCTGGATAGTTAGAGGTGCTAGAGGAATGATTCTAGCACAGCTATGAATAGACGGCCAGCAGTGATCTGCCTTAATTCGGAGGTTAATGCTTCCCCTGAAAAGAACAGAACTGATGCAAGGTTTCTCCTTTTCTCAAGGAGCTTGCCGAAGTCTATCCTTTTTGTGACAGAATGGGGTCATTTAGCCCTCTGTGGTTAGTGTCGAGGGTAAATTATTAGATCCCACTCAAAACCCCACTTGGGTTTCTGGCAAAAAAGTCCTTGTGAGGGGCTGTTGAGAAGACAGGGGAGTTGTGTTCAGGAGAGGAATTTTCATACAGATCAAAAGTAAATTTTATTGCAAGAAACTTGCCTTTTATAGCTCTTCAATTGATGTAATTAAATACATAGTGCATAATGGAATTGTACTATCTGCAGATTGCTATGTTGTGTTGGAGATGGTGGAAAAGATTAGATTCCTTTCAGACATGTTTAATGGTTACTGTTTCTTTCTTCAGAACTTGAAAAAACACCTGCTGTACTACAGACTGCTGAATGCAGAGAACCCTATGGGATTTGACCTTTATGAGCAGCTCCCTCCCATGAGACTGAAGTACCTGCAGATGGTGACACAGAAAGAAAATAAGGAGAATGCACCAGCGCTAGACTCATAGCAAAACACTTGTGCAAGAAGAGAGCCAAGGTGAAGAGTGGAAGAGCTCAGTTTATACTTCACTGATGAAACTACTTGCAGCTCAGATGGTTTTAGTGTTTACCTGGACATTCTTGGCATCTTTGCCATGCGAAGCACTGGTAGAATGCTCCCAGCTCTGCAGAACAGTGCACAGAATTTGTGTGTGTGGCCTTTCTGTGTTGAATGTTGGAGCATTTTCCTTCATTTTCTTTCGTGTTGTTCTTCTTCCCAGAGAAGGTGAGGATGTGTCTGAAAGGCACTGGACTGTTGGATGAACTGAAGGAAGTGGAAAAGCTATTTCATTCAGTCAGGCTGGAAATGGGGTTTTCAAGATGATGTCTGTCTTCCCTAGATATTTCCCTTGCTTTTTTTGTACCCTGAATTTTGAATGGTCCTTTCCCCACACTATCCCCTGCAAATAGAATGATGATATGACAGGGAAAAAGCTGATCCTGAGAGCTCTTTTTTTCCTTAAATTTAATATATATACAAGCAGTTTTTCCAGGAGAGTGTTCTGTGCATACAGATGTATTGTGTCAGACCTCTAAGAAATATTAATACCTAGTGCAGTGGTACAAACATGAACATCTTCTCTTGACTGTCTTTTGGATAGTCCCTGAACTGTTTTCTTTTTTCCCTTAATTTGGTTTCATGTATAACAAGATCAAAAATAATTTAGAGAAAAAAAAAGTATCTGCTTGTTTAGCTAGAATATGTATTGGTTGCCTTCTGAGGAGAATGCAATTTAAATGTTGAAGTGGAGTTTCTTAGCTCAAATGTAGTTTTATCAATGTTTAATTTGATCCCACTTCTACATCCAAATTCTATATTGCAACCTTAGACACAAGGCTAAAAGGCTCCTCACAAGTGCCACATCAAGTCCAGAATTTACTCTAGGTTTGATCCCCCTGGATGTTTTCTTTATATCCAGTAATTTTTGCAGAACTACAGTCACTCTGGCAGGCTTTTGTTTGGAGAACTTTAACAAGGTTTGTTCATAAAAGTATTTCTGATCTTTTGTTCTTACAAATAAATTCCTCTGGAAGGTGCAGGGTAATGCCTAGTGTGAAGGCCTAAGCTCCTGTTGTTACCTATCAAACAGGCCAAGTTAGCTTCCCTCCGAAGAAACCATGCCTGTATTAACCTTGCTCCAGCCAATGTCCCAAGAGGAGTGTGAAACACTGTTAATAGGCTTGCTTGTAGTTATTGAAATTGTTCAGACAAGAAACAAAGTCCAGATAGCAGCTTTATAGACTCAAAGAATCATTTAGTTTGGAGAAGACCTTTTAAGATCATTGTGTCCAATGATAACAGTATCTTTCTTTCACCTAAAAAGTGAAGTGTTGCTGCCCCCTCAAATGGCTACATAATCACACAGGGCTTAGGGCATTTGTGACTGGGATGCTGTCTTTGTATTGGCAGTTTTCTAAGTGTACCAGTCCCCCTTAAGTTGCCAAAAAATAAACAGTTTCATTTTCCCTCACCTTATTTCAGAAAGGGCAAAACGGGCATTTCCATTCAGTCTTTTTTCTGCTTTTGTCTAGATGGTGAGAGCCCAGCAGTTGTCTTTCAAGAGCAATGGATGGTAAAATTTAAGGACTCCTAGCTGCCCCTTTAAGACCAGCCTTCATCAAGGACTTTGCCTTTTGCTTTTCAGACCTCCAGTTATAAAATCTCTTCCAGTACTTTGTGCGATGCAAAGTTGAGTTTTGTAATGTGTACAGGGTGTAAATAAATATTTTGAGAACTCTGCAGATATTTTTTTAACTGTGAGAGTGCTCTTCTTTATTTAAGTTGTTCTTGAATTTGGAGAGTTCTATTTGCAATTTATCAATATCTTGGGAATGCTACTGCTGTGAGAAAATGCACTAAGCTTTGCAGCTCTGTAAGAAAGCTCCTCAAGCCAAAAATTACATGTCGTGTGATGGGTCAGTAACACAGGGTACCAAATGCTGTGTGTACTTGGGGAAGGTGCAGAGTGGGTATCATGTGATTTGTCACATACCACAGGTGGGAAGACAGTAAAATACTGTCCATAGATGGTATTTGAAATTATGATACAAGTATCAGCAATGGAGGGAAGGAAAAGAAAGGATCTCAAATAGTTCTGCAGGCCACAGTTATGTGCAGAAAATTCTAAGGATGCTGCATATGAGTTTTCAAAACGTTGAATATTACTTGAGGTGGTACAAGAGTCCTAAGCTTGAATTTTTTAAGGCTTTGGGCAGCCTTTTACCAGATTTCTCTGCAGAACAGTAGAGGGCATTGCTTTGTCTAGTTTAAATGCAAGCTTTCTCAGCTTCAGCGCGATTGGGACTTGGAAAAAAAAAAAAAACAAACAAAAAACAACCAACCTTTAAACATGGTTTGAATTTCCTGTGTTTTTTATTTTTGCAAATAATTTTGGAGCAAGGGTGGAGAATTCAATATTTTATGTGATAGGTTGCTAATAATTATTCGGTGCTTTGCCAGCAGGAGCATTTTGGAAAAATCCTGGTACAGTGAATGTAAGCTTTAAACTTCGGCTGAATGGAGTCTGAGACAGGACCAAAGCATACCAGTTCTGTTAATCCAGTTTAATCCTGATCAGGGTAAGTGAGGAGATGAAGAAAATTAAAACTGTCCAAAAAAAACTGATGTGACTTCTTAAATCTTTATTGAAAGCTTAAGATTTCCTTGAGGAGAAAATAATTCTGCTGAAATAAGACCCACAAATAGGTTTCTGGGGTTGAAGTGGTTCTAGCTCAGAACAACATATGTTTTCTGATAACTCTCATCAGAAGTCAACAAAACCAGCAACAACAACCAAATAAAAATATCCCTGCCTATCTTTTAATTCTTAAAAACAAAAAAGGCCTCATCTTTTGGTCCTTTGTGGCTCGAAAATTATTTCATCCAAGTTACTAATATTGTCCCATGTGGATAATGGTGGAATCTATATGGTACAAATTTAGCAGGGGCTGTGCTGGAAGGCAGCAACAATGTGTTTTTAAAAATGATTGATTTTACTGGAGATGAGTTGAAGGTAATGCTTTTAGTATTGCTGTTGAGTTGGTAAGTAAGATGGTGGGGCTGTCACGGTTTTGCATCCCATAACTTTAATGGCAGAAGTTTTCTGCATTCTTCTGAATCTTTTTTTGCATTTTGAAATGGGAGAGTGAGTCTTCCCATCAGCTCGGAAGGATGTCCTTTTTTGCCTAGAAAAAATGGAGTTGATTTGTGATCCTTCAACTACATGAGTGGTTTGAATTCCCTGAGTTTAGAATCCCTATGTGGTGACTTGGCCCACTTTGCTGAGTAGGGACAGTTCCCAAAAAAGATGTAGGCAACTCAGTGGCTGACAGTACTACACACTGAGGTAGGACAAGGCCTTGCAGAGGAAAGTAATGAGTTAGGCAAGGAAGAAATCAAAACAGAACTGAAACTATGTTGTATGGGAACTTTTTAAAGTACACATGAAGTATTATATAATTAAAGCACTTGCATTCCACTGTATTTATTGACTCTTTCAGTTTGACAGTGGAATTTAATAAGCCATTTCTAGACTAATGCATTCTGTCTGGCCACTTAACATCAGGCAAACCCTAAACACCTTTTGCTGATGAAGTCATGAACAAGCCATAAGATATGGGTGTATAAAAATACTAGGGGTCAGACAAGTGCATTTCTGTCGGTGTCAGACAGAAAGTAGAGCAGAAGGCATTTTTATTATTGTTTTTGCTCCTTCCTAGTTCTGCAAAGTTCTCCTTGGAAATCTCTCATTGATGAAGTGGTGCTACCTCCAGCTAATTATCATATTTGGGAGGCAAAACAAATTTATTCCCATTGGCTTACAGAAGCTCATATAAGCTTTCCATTTACAAAGCTGGCCCTCTGATATCCCTTGTTTAAATAACTTTATGGTAATTTCCTGGCCTTTTCCTCTAGTTTTTAAAAACTGGCTTACCCTCTCCCTTTGAATGGAGAATGTGCACTGAAGCCATGCTCTCAGAACTGCGTTTTGCATGATAAGGAGTGGTTTAAATCAGGGTAAATTGGCCGCTGTCTGTTCCCCTGCCTCCCTTTTTTGTGGTAATCTTGAGTCTCAAAACAGCTGCTGCAAAAATGCTGTCTGTCGGTTTCTGGCCAGCCAAAGCACAAAGAGCTCCCATTCAACCTGACTGAGGACCAGATGCTTCACTGGCAGTGTTCTGAGCCTCCAGTCAACCCTAACCTGAGCAATAGTTGTGAGCAGGTTACTGACAAACAAAGGACATTGTAGATAGAGCAACACCTGGCCCATCTTTGGGTCCAGTTCTTTATTTGCTAGTGGACTGTAACTAGCAGATACTGACAGATACCTGCGGCTCCAGAGACCAGAGGAATCTCCTTTATTCTGCCCCGGGCAACTTTTCTGCAGTACTTTGATGTCTGTTGAGCAACCATCTCCTAAGTCCAATCAAGTCAATGGATGTTTCCAGAAAGTACTGTGTATGGACATTACAATGAAGTCTAAGGCATATGGGGAAGGTTAGTGGCACCTACGCTCTGTGTCACTCTGCCCTAATCTGACATGGATGACAAACCAGACCAGTGAAGTCAATGCTCATTACAAAGCAGCTGCTGGTCCAGGCCACAACAAAAAGGGGGGTTGTGTGATGGAGAAATACTACTGCTGTCAAAGCAGAGCCACATAGGTGACAGTGTGTGCTAAAATCTGAGGCCTTAGTTGATGACTACAGCTGGAAGGAAGTTTTGTGGAATAATCTGGGTGCTGGGAGCCCATCCTGAGGGGCAACAGCTATCGGGCTGGGCAAGTAACGGGGAACACCTGGGCCCAGCACCAGCCCTCAGGGAGCTTGGGGAGCGGTTGGCAGCAGCAGCATCAGCCGGAGGTAAATACTTTGTTTCATCCATTTTTTCTGCTTCTCCAGAGTGCTGGGTGGCTGCTGGGACCTTGCTCCCCAACCACAGTAACCAGTCTGAAGCTTTGGGATGGGACAAAGGGAAGGATTGAGTGAGCCAGTGAGCTTGGAGAGTGGCTCAGCTTTTGGATGTTGTTTCTGGGTCTCTCAGATTGAGACGAAATTTGTGGTTTCCCCTCTCTCTCCACAGTGTCCTTATCCCCTAGTACTCCCTTCATTTGTTTTCTTCCATGTCCCTCAGTCACTAGACTCTCCTTCCCTACACATTTGTTTGCCTTTCTGTTTTCGGTTTTCCACCATTATAGTAACTTCTAGTTCTTCTCTGTTGGCTTTTCTCACTCTTTTGGTTGTTTGCAGAAGCAATTCATAATTTAACAGTTAAACTGGAGAACTGAGATGTCACCGCTGAGTTTGAGGTGGAAGCTCACGTCTCTTGGGGTGTTCATCTGAAGATCTGGGCAGATGTCCATAAATAACATGCACAATATGCCCATTTGGAAACCTTACGGCAAAGAAGGCTGTAACTTTGCTTTTAAGACCCATTCTGCGTAGGTGGTGTAAGCACACCATGCCATTTGAGTCTGATCTGTCAGATATTTGATGGCACTATAGCAATTAATCTGTTGGATCTGTCTTCCTGAAAGGACAGTAACTGTATTAAGTGACTTTTTAATGTTACTGCTTCCACCACGGCAAATTTTTGCTCACAAAATGAAGGAGCACATCTCCACAACAGTATTCTAGGCTTCCTCAGTGCACATGGACTTTTGTTAGCAGCTTCCAGCACAATGCATGTTTGGGGTGGCTCTTTATTATCTTGAGAGTAACAGGAAGCGCAAAGAGCTCTGAATTAACTTCAGGTATTGCTCTGCTAGCAATGAATTGTAATTTCAGAGGGGGGTGACATAGCATGATGATACAATGACAGCCACTGTGAATGTATGTTGTTATCATCTTTACAAAAAAAGCAGCTTGCTACTCCTGGAATCAATGTATCTTTCAACATAGATTATAAAAAACAAATTTAGAATGATACAAAATTTCTCTGAACCATCCTGCATCTCTTGTCTCTGACATGAGTGTCAGCTCACTCAGAAAATGTTAGTTGTGCTGCTACCCAGAAGACACCACAGATGGTGGCTCATTTTTGTTCCTCTTGGTACTGTCTGCTGTAAGATTGATCAGGTTTGGATCGATGAAATTATTTGGGCAGAAGCTGCCATTACTCTCCTCCTATCTGTCCACTATTAAAAGAAGTGGGAGGAAAGGGAATATAAAATAACTTTTTAGTGTCTTTCTCTCTTTGGTACTGTTTTGTGAACACTTAAAATATTTATAAAGAAGAGTATGGGCTTGCTGACCATGCTTCTTCACAATGAGCTCTTATCAGCAGGTTTTATATTTTATAGCTTCTGAAGCTTTTTTTTTTAAGGGAGGGGTGTGGGCTTATATTTGTTGTAACAGTACAATTTGCAGGTTAACATTAGGATGCAGAACTTAGGTTATCTGTAAGTAACTACTCTGGTGCAATGCGAGTCAAAGCTTTTCATTCTCAGCATGCACTGCTGTCATGAAGGCCAAGCATTGCACTGTTGGAAAAGTTAGCAGGTGCCCATGTGCATTTTGCAGAGCTTCTCTAGACTTATTATATAATTGTTAATACTGTTTTAGGGACAATAAATTGTCTTCTTGTATGAGTCTCTTCTGCTACCAAGATACTTTTGAGATTAGGAATCTATACTCAATTTTGCAATTTAACTTTTCCTTTGAACCAGCAATCTACTGCTTTCTGTAGTTATTTATTTTGGTGATTCCTATACCTAGCTGCAGATGGAAGAAAGAAGCAATAAG